TTCTTCGCTATATATATATACACATACGGGGGAGAAATTGTAGCTCTCTATATTCCTCAAGTAGTCGCACGTAAATTCAGTAATCTGATTGAACACTCACATCGATGCCTTTTCAGCGACTTCGTGTAATAATAAACGGATATCCTAATCTTCTTCTCGTCATCCTCGTCCTCGTCGAAACTCCCGCTCGCGTAAGTCGTGAGATTCTCCTGCGGTAATTTATAAATTCGCAATTTCGCCGCGACAACATGATCACCGGAAGTCAGATTCAATTGAAAATGTATGTTCATCGAGAACGGATCTGTCCAAGCCTCGGCGTCCGTGTTTCGAGGTATCTGGCCTGTATAATAAAAAAGGTCACAAATTTCGCCCAATAAGCTAGTAATATTCTAAACGAATTATTAAACTACTAACAAGTAGACGAGAACATGGTGAGCCTCTCGCGCTGAATCTGATTGGTGTTGGTGCTATTGTTGTTGCGTCTGCCAGTTATCCCGAGGACTATCGTCTTGATATTTTCCAAGGCTTTCTGACCCTGACTGCACAAAAGGAGAATCAAAGCTTATTAGACTACACGGAGCGTCTTAGATAAAACGGTGAGTGATAACGCGCAAAAGCACAACATCAATTTCATAGCAAAACCGCGTGTTAGTAAAGTTACTTAAAGGTAATATAGTAAAATTATATTTTAGTATGTCGAACACAACGTTATATAAAGAATCGTTCCCGAAATAATACAACGAAAGGAGTTCAAAAATTTGTGTCAAGACGTTTCAAAGTTCGTGAAACAATAAAGTAGAAATTTAGCTCACAACTATTTCGAGAGATCTGACCTAGAAAATAGCTCGTTCAACCTGAAACAGCTCAAGACGTCTTAGAGACGATATTGCGAAAGCATGTAAAATGTCCTAAGTATTTGAAGCGAATTTCCCCAAGAATTCCGAGCCACGGATAGGACACTTTTGGCAGAAGATTATCCAGAAAAGGCGATAAATATCGTTTCATAAACCTAGCGCGGCTGCGCGGGCTCGAGAATTTTCACCTCAGGTTCCGAGGCGAGCTCTCTTCCGGGTGCCGACGCGGGCCAACGGACGATGGTCAGTGACCTACAGAGGCACACGGTACGGCTCGCGGAGGCATTTATTACACGTTGCAGACAGTGGCTAGACAGTCGGCGGATACACCGGCACCCCAATCACCTCGAGTTTGCCGTGTCTGGTCTCGGAGAGACCTCGACTTTTTCAGGCCGCGTCTCGAATGTTAAAATCCGATCTCCCGCAGCCTCTCTCTCTCTCTTTCTCTCTCTTTCAGGCCTCATTTGCATCGTCCTATCTTTGCATCCCGCTTTGGCGAATTTTTTCTGGACATTGGCCGTGGGGTTCGCGTGACTCGAATTTCATGCCTTTCCCGAACACGACGTGTCAATTTTCGCGTACGGTGAAAAGTACAATCTCCAGACCTCGTATGATTACGACGCAAAATCGACGGTTTCATGCTTCCTCGTCCGGATACTGGGATAAGAAGTTGTTTATTCGCACGCGCGCGCCCGCTTCAGGCGACTCACGTGGCTTTCATTAACAAGCGCGACCTTATCGAAAAACGAACGACGACGATATCGGACGATCGTGCGGGATTGCATAATAAATTTTCGACAAGTCATTAATCAATCATCCGGCGGAAGATAGAAAAGAAAAGAAGCGATGGGAAAAAAAGGATGAGCGTCATTTCTCTACGTCATCGACAAGGATCGCCGTGTTTGAGAGACGCCCACTCGGGAGATTTCAGCGCAGTCCCCACGTCAACGACCTCGTTGACTTGCCCGAGCGTCAAGCAGAAGAATGTATATTTCCCTGAATGATAGAAAAGAGAAGAAGATAAGAAGATGTAGAAAGCGAGGAGGGAAAAGAATGTACAAAGAGGGGAGGAAATGGAAAACAAATCCGACGAACGCGGGCGACAAATGCAAAAAAATAACAAAATCTTTCTTCGTACTACCTGAAATCTACAGAACTGTGCCCCGACTTTTTTCCGCCGTCTGGAAAGGAGCCTATAAAATGCGAAGGTCCCGGGAACGGTATCCTCGGAGTAGACTCGTAAATGACAAGCGGAACGGACGAAACCCATTCTTCATCTTAATCTTAGATCATAATCGCTCGTTTCTTTTAGAGCATAGGTGGTGCCGCGACGTAACATTTTATCCGAGGGTCCGAGAGTTAATCCAGACATAGGCCCGGGTTTTCTCGAGAAAGGCAGGCCAGCCGGAGAGAAGTTACGACTCTGTTCTGCGAAATCACGGTCTATACGGTATATACCGAACCCACCGATCTTCGATTCTAGGCATGCGCTCGTTAATCTAGCCGCGGCCAAGTCACGCATTTCGCGCCGCTTCGTTGCGTACGTGCCACGTCTGTCCGTCGTCTGGGAAAGGGAAGGACCTGGACAAGTCTGGAGGCCGTTGCATCATGCGAACCGGCGCGGCGGATCCTCCTCGCCTCTCCCGTGGGCCGAGTGTCGCGATAATGAAATTCACTGGAGCATAGCCGGCCGTGTAGACCATTAGCGTTAAAAATTAGATAAGGAAACGGGAAGAGAGAGAGAGAGAGAGAGAAAGAGAGATGGAGATGGAAAGAAAGAGAAAGAGAGAGAGAGAGAGCTCTATCGACGCATCTCAAAAATTTTAATGCCTCATCCCTGGACCTGGAATTTTATTTAGGGTTAAAAAAAAAAGAAAGTAAAAGCTAGAAACCCCCGAATCGAAAAAGAGGGAAAGAACGGTTCCTCGCGACGCGATAGGCCGACGACGCGTAACCGGCGCGGCGGGCCTGATTGGGCCGTCCGTAAAAATGCACATTGCACCGTCTGGCGGTGCGACAACGGACGACTGCGACAACGATAACGACGGCAGCGGGATGCAGAGGACGGATAGCGGGGGAGGAAGAGGGACGAGAGGGGAGGGAGGGGGGAGAGAGGGAGAGAACGGTGGAGGACCCGCGCGCGCCCGGCGAAAACTTCCTCCTCTCGCTCCGTCGCGCTCGCCACTCTCGCCCACCGTCTATAGGAAGATAGGAAGAGAGACGCGCATAGACAAGGTCAACGCATTAAATTGAAATGTGTTACGTAACCTCGTAAGAGAGTTCTAACTGCTAGACACCCATCTCGTTTCCTCGTTTCCTTATCGGCGAAAAGACGCGTGTAAATTTGAATGGAGAACGAGGATCAATTTTGACGCGCGTCCCCAAGTTCGTGATTAATCGATTGCCACTCTCGTTTCCTTATCGGCGAAAAGACGCGTGTAAATTTGAATGGAGAACGAGGATCAATTTTGACGCGCGTCCCCAAGTTCGTATAGACGAGATTAATCGATGAAACGTCACTTTCTCGGGAGATAAATTCGCGAGAGACGAATTCGAGGGAAGAAAACGTGAGAGGGCTTTCGCTGCGTAAAAGATTCGAGAATAATATGTCCGGGCCTCGGATTCGACGGCATGCATGCACCGCGCCGATGCATGATCGTGCATCGAGCGATGCACAAATGTGCATCGGCAACAGGCACGAGGAGGAGAGACTCTCGAGACTCTCGGGCTACGCCAGTGCCGGCACGAATGCATTTACGCGTCTAGACTTAATAAAATAAAAGAAACGCCCGCGCGCGCAAGCACCCGCACGAGTGGGGCTGCGAGCAGTCGTCCGAGGGGGAGGGGGACGAGGGGAGGGGTGGCGGGGGAGAGGGCGATTTAAAAACACAGCTAGAGACCGCAGCGGAATTTCCACCGCGCGTTATCCTTCCTGGGCTGAGAACACTGTCCCTAAACCTGTCCCTCGCGCAAACTTTATCACGCACCTTCGCACCCGCACTCCGTTCCTTCGCGAAACCGTATCTCGTTTTATTTTTACATATTGAAAAAAAAAAAAATCGTATCGATATTATATTCAATATTGGAAAATATTTTATCGATTCGAAGCTTCGATATATGTATAATCGTGATTATATTTCCAGATTAAGAAATTTTCCCTCGACAAGCGTCTCTTGCATGCATGAACGGAATAAAATATAAATAAAATGTGAAAATTGCACATTTTTCTCGACGAAAGAAAATTATTTACTCGAGAATCGAAAAAAGCACTGCATTTCCCTGACGCTACGCCAAGTTTCTCTCTCTCTCTCTCTCTCTCTCTCTCTTTCCTCGCGATACTTTTTTATCGGTCCATCGAGATATTTTTACGTGACGAGGGCAACGTTTCGCTGAGAACGCCGATGTCGACCGACGTCGGCGAATTTTTGCCTCTCGTGCGTTACGCGTCGAATTCTCCGATTTCCACGACGCGCGCAGATGAATAAATTTTTGCCGCGCGAAAGAAAATTATAATTGACCGTTTTGCGACAATTTTCACCTAAAATTCTGGAGAAACCATTATCGGATACGTCAAATCGTAATTTGTCTCGTTTTCGATTGCGTGAAGAAGACTCCTATAGTATACGTGGGGAGGGGGGGGGGGCGTATTCTACATATAATTCGAAAAGCGAAAGATTAGAAATTAAAGAGATTTTTTTTTGAGTTCACACAGATGCTGCGTATAATGTAAAACTTTCGCAATCTTTTCTTGGCACTTCATCGACACTCTCGTAGATAAAAAATACGTTTAATTACCGTATTCATCAAATTAGCGAAATGCATAAAAATCATGCAATTGTAACACTGCAGTTTCGTACCCGCAATAACACGCATGCAGATATACATTTCTTTCAAGCAAAAAAGAAGAAAAAAAAACATATTGTCAATCTCGAGATACAAAAAAGGTATTCGCAATATAACGCGTTTCATGCGAGAATAAAAATAATGCGCCAGAGTTAAGCGACTATCAATGATAAATTGTAAAAATAAGATAACTGAGAAAAAATGCACGGCACAACGAATGCCTTACCGGATGATAAAGGCCTCCATGGAGGCTTACCTGCCGAAGCTTGAGGTTACGTTTTCTCTAAAAGACACAGAAAGCACATATTGTAGATACTAGAAATGCGTTTGCCAAGCATAGAGCATGTGATGAACGACATTTAATAGAATTATGATTCAGTCATGATTCATGTACGAGAGAGGAAAAGCGTGATTTTAAACAGAATCAAATCAGGGAAATATTATACAAAATGTAATAAAATTCTCTAGTAGACGATATTCAATATCGCATGAGCTACTTTCCCGTGATTCACTTTTCCCTCAATATCCCGTTCTTTTGTTTCAACTTACTCTCGGCGATGAGCGAGCGCCAGTTGTTGATAGGCAGAGAGATTCGTCAACGATGCGTTCTCGACAGACGACGACGCGTTGACGTTGGCCACGAAATGCTTCGTCTGATCCAGGGCGTCGTTCTGATACTCCAGAGTATCATTCTCGTTTCCCTCCGGTAAGGTATTCATCATCTGCTCCTCGTAATCCGACGTCTCGTTCTCGTCGACGTAGCCCAGCGAGTCCGTGAAAGCCGGTATCACTCTGTAAACATCCTCTCCGACCCATTCCAGCCCCTCGTACTCGCTGATTTTCCTATCAACCGTATCGTTGTCCGCGTCCTTGGCGAACGAATTGTTGAGATCCGTCATCAGGGTGTCAATCAAGGTCACGTTAGATGTAACGTTTGCAACGATATCGCTCGTGATGGTAGGCTCCGGAGATTCCGTCGTGCCGAAGGTAAGTTGATTCCTGGTATAATTTGGCCTGACGTCTTTAAAGTTCCCCAGCTGGTATACTATGGGAAGCGGAGTATCCTCAGTAGCCGCGGAAGAAGCAGACGAAGAAGAAGTAGTTGATAATGAAGGAGCGTGAAAAGAATTGGCGACGTTCCTGGCAGTCGTGTGCCTCAAGGTCGAAGGATGCTTTGGATCCTTGGACGAGGCGAGGGCGCCTTCCCTGTTTACGAACCTCGATCTCTCGTCGGAACCAGAGCTGGAATCGAACTCGGAATCGTCGTAGGGAATCTTGAAGATCACGTGGGGCTCCATGGCACGGTCGAAGCTTCGATGAAGATTCTGCGACGTGTCCTGCTCTTCGGCATTCTTCGATTCGTCCTCGTAATCGAGATTCGCGGCCTCGGACCACGATTCTTGCTGCAGCTCGAGCTTGGAGGCCAAGTTCTCGTAATCGATCACTGCTTGGCGATTGTAAGCGTCAAAATCGAAGTTCTTGTCGTCTTTCTCCTCGTATCGGTCTCTCTTCCTATCGTTCCTATCGGACACGTCGATGTTAGGATCGTAACGAGAAGACGACTCAAACTCCATGGAATTGTAGTTCCAATGCTTTGCTCTATTTCCATAAATATTTTCGTCGTAGAATCTTCCCTCGCTGGACTCTGTTGCTTTCTTCAATTCTTCATCCTTTCGTTTGTCGAGTTCACGCTCGCGAATCGCCAGCACTTCTTCGGGAGTGTAATTGAGACTTTTCAACAGCAGCATATTGGCCGTGCTGAGATCACCTGTGATTATTTGAAGGATCGCCTTTTCCAGCATTTTTTCTACTCTCCGTGCACTGAAGGGAATCGAGCCTTTTCTGTCTAAGGCCTCTACGTGTCTTGCACTTTTCTTCAATGATTCTGACAGCAAAGTATCCGTTGTTTCCTCACTCTTAAAATTGGATTTTCCTTCGACAAAATCTACGTGACTGTTTTCTTTTTTGTGCATCGGATAAAATCCATGATGATGATGATGGTGATGATGATGGGACCATGTATTGGTCGCGATGGACACCAATAAAATAAGCACGAAGATTTTAACCATTGTCGCAAATAATGAAAAATTGTTCGAAAAACTTAATGCAGTCGCGTTGCACTCGAATTCCGTCTTCGATTACAATGACAGATGATTCGTATTTCCAAAAATTAACGCAAATAATATTGCAAAAGATAAAACAAAGCTCGAAATTTTCTCGATTTCGTTTCCAGGAATAATTTTCAATCTGGGCGAAAATAATCCACAAAAAAAGAATATCGAATCCCGAAAATTTCGCTTGAAGATGCTCGATAAACAGAGTCTATGAGTAATCTTCGAATTTTTGAAAAAAATAACTAGTTTTTCGAGCGATGATTACTCGTTAATCTTCTCGCAGTTAAATCCTTGAAGCTCGTTGACAGATGATACGGTATCGCGCGCGTTATTAGTCTCTCGCTTCCGATCTCAATTTCGCTCACCTCGCGGAATCACGGATGCAAGACAACGAGAATCGCCGTAGTTCTTAAGGGTGTCTCTTCTCTGGTTCTCCAAACTTTCTTCGAAATATCTTCGGGATGTCCCGGGACGACACAGTCGTGTGCAGACTCTGTGACCAGCTCTGTCACCTAGACGCGGCGCTTCTCCGCAGTACGTCCCCAGCAGTGAAGAAGAAGAAGAAGAAGAAGAAGAAGAAGAAGAAGAAGAAGAAGAAGAAGAAGAAGAAGAAGAAGAAGAAGAAGAAGAAGAAGAAGAAGAAGAAGAAGAAGAAGAAGAAGAAGAAGAAGAAGAAGAAGAAGAAGAAGAAGAAGAAGAAGAAGAAGAAGAAGAAGAAGAAGAAGAAGAAGAAGAAGAAGAAGAAGAAGAAGAAGAAGAAGAAGAAGAAGAAGAAGAAGAAGAAGAAGAAGAAGAAGAAGAAGAAGAAGAAGAAGAAGAAGAAGAAGAAGAAGAAGAAGAAGAAGAAGAAGAAGAAGAAGAAGAAGAAGAAGAAGAAGAAGAAGAAGAAGAAGAAGAAGAAGAAGAAGAAGAAGAAGAAGAAGAAGAAGAAGAAGAAGAAGAAGAAGAAGAAGAAGAAGAAGAAGAAGAAGAAGAAAGGTAGAAGAGGAAACCGTTTCGTACGGAGGCGCGTTAGCGAACTGGACCGTGATTGGTCTGCCGGCGATCGCGAACTAAGTTCTAATCGCACGAGGAAGGCGCGAGGTGCGTAAGCAGGAAGGATTCGTATAGTATGCGTGTGCACGCTCTGAGCAGTAAGTCTCAACTGAGCCGTGGTACTGGCCAGCTCACAGGCATAATTCTGTCTACTCACTAATTCCGAGACAACCACGAAGCCGCGAGAGGAGACGCGCCCTCTCTCTCTCTCTCTCTCTCGTTCCCTTTTTCTCTCTCCACCACCGTCGTCTCTCACGTCGGCTCCACTCTTTCTCCTCCGCTCGGGTAACCCCTTTTCCCTCGTGCACCGAAATCCCGCGGAAGACAGCCTTTTCTCTCCTCGCGATGTTTTATCTTCTTCCCCTCCTCCTCCTTCTGTTCCCTTCTTCGTCACAGTTTCCTCTTCTTTTTCGTCCTTTCCCTTGTATTCGTTTCTTTTTGGCGCTAATCTGCCTCCCGATGATGATTACCGAAGATTGTGTTGAATTGATCCGTCGACCCAAACTCTCCGGATCTTCCTTTTTCCCCGTCACTTATCTTCGCGATATCAGCTCGTTTCAAATTTCGCAAATCTTGCTACAGATCGTCGGTTTCATACCTCGTTCGTGCAAATACTTATGTGATAGCCGAGAATCTACATACTGACGTACGTGGATTTTCTCTCTCTCTCTCTCTCTCTCTCTTGCAGACGAATGTTATCAAATTTTTTTCCTTCTTTCACTGTCACAAATGACGATCTACGCGTACGCCGGACTATCGCTACCAAAAAAATCGATCTCGATCTTCTACCGTGCGATAACTCGATCGAATCGTGGCCTCTTTCCTCCTTCCCCGGGACACCGTCGCCTTCGTATAATTTTGATTACCTCGCGAAAAGAACGAAAAGAAGGAATTTCCTCTCCTCCTTCGTCCTCTGGCTTCTACGAAGTCTCGGTCATTCGGCGAGATAGAGCTCCTCTGAACGACTTGAGAGAATGTTGCGACGAAATGCGAGAGAAATGGAGGAAGGAAAAAAAGAGGAACAGGTACAGGAATATATGACGGGAACGCACGAAGCTTGCACGAGAGAAATGTACAAGGAGGCTCGTCGTATTCGGATGGTCGTTTCAGGGGCAGCCACATACGATTTTATAGGGTGTCTCCCTCTCCGCTGTCTAGACGAATCGAAAGATATGATCTTTGAATCATAATGTATCGCTTTTAATAAATGCAGCCTCCGCGTGCGTGCGTGAAAATACGATACAACGCACGCAGACGGCAAGAGTTCGAAAAGGAAAAAAAAAAAGAAAATAGTAAAAAAAATGAGACGGCCGTGATAGATTCAATTTACTTCCACGTGTGTGGAAATCTCTCTGGGAATCCATAAATATAAATTTCGCTTAATTATTATAATGATTCGAATGTAATTAGGTATTTATTTTGAACGATTACTTTTAAAAATTAGATGTCTCTCTCATAAGTTGATCGCTATGTTGATTAAAAAGCTCAGTTTTGTTTATAAACGAGGATGTGATCGTCCCTTCCCTCTCCCTCGCTCTCTCTTTCTAATCTTATTATAAATTTTTCTTAGATTATTTCTAGATGAAAAAGGAAGTTGTGATTTATAATATGTTTCCGCGAAGGAGATGTAAATCCTCGACCGCATTAAGAATAAACATGTGCCTGAACAAACTCGTAAATCTATGCTTTCGAATCGAGCTTTCCACAGATTACTAATATGACGTAATTAAATTTAATGTCTGATATTTGGATTAATATTTCGATGCGTCTGAATTCGAAGAGAACCCCTGGTAAAATGTATCAAGCGCTCTTTTTGCGAGAAATAAAATAATTCTTCCTTAAAGAAATATTTAACAAAATGACTATTGGATTAATGCTACAACACATTTTGACATAAATTATTTCACACATTTGTATCTACGTTTAAAGTATAAAAATTCTCGCTAGTATGTTTCGAGTTATTGCGAAATGTAACGCAATACGTCTCTTCCAAATCGATTCGTGGGGTCGTCATTGACGGGTATGCAAAAGGAAGAAAAAAAAGAGACAAAACGTTCACCAAACAAATCGATGAATCGAGACCAACGACGTAACCACTTATTCACCCTGCTCAAACTGGGTTGGCCGACGTGTCTGGTGGGGGGCCACGTGTGTCGAAGGAAGTGCATTGCGGTGTCCCGGATACGCACACATCTCTCTCCTATACCTTATACTTGATTTCGCATGTACATAGCACATACTTAAATTACATACATATGTGACTTCTACGGATTGAATGTGCCCTTTCTAGATACGTCTGCGAGCTTCAAATTGCTCCTTTCCATTCGCTTAAGCTTCAATCGACGAAAGATGCGAGAGGTCGCTCTCTCATATAATAATTATATCTAAATAAAGGATAATCTTAATGAAAGATAACTCTTTGTCCGATTCTCCTGGTCTCTTTTCAAAATTGAAACTGAAGTTAGAAACCGAGAGTGTCCGCTGTCTCGGTTAAACCGTGCGAAATCTAGGTATTTCTAGCTCTAGTATCGAGCATAAACGGAATGAATCGTGTTTAGGCTACAGTTATTTATCACTCGAATCCCTCTCGCTACCCTAGAAAGAGACAAAGGACGGAGTTAAAGTTACGCGACGACGGTGAGAAACCGGCCTTCGGAGACTCTCGGAAGACACGCCGGGTACATAAAGTACCCACGTGCGATCACGCGCGGGCGTGCAGACACGCGGGCTTAACTGCGCGTCCGTTCGGAGGGTTATAGGGTGCGTGAGAGAGCGAAAAGGGGGAGAGAGACCACGGACACGATGCAATTTGATCCCGCGTGCGAGAGAACGAACGGCCACGACGACGGTTCGGTGCAACGGTTGTCTGACGTCACCCACCGAATTCTCCGTCGCGAATCGGACATGCGGACAGACAATCTGGCGTCTAGACATACCAAAATAAATAATGCGCGGAGCATCTCTCTCTCTCTTTCTCTATCTACATATCTCTCTCGCTTCGCCAAGTCAAATTGTTGGCTCGCACACTCGTTACATACTCGTACATCGTCCTTGTCAGCGACGGCGGCGTCCTGTTAGCTCACGGGGGATGTTACGGAGGCGTAGAAACACCCGAATGTGAGTCCCTCCGCTGCGCGACGCGTCACGCGAAACGTTTCTCTGCGGAGACGCGGTAAAGAAATCCCCGAAGCTAAATCTTTCGAGGAAAATAGAAATAAAAAAATAACTCGATTAATTCGCGAACAATCGTAGATTTTGACGTTTCCCTCCTACTCTTGATCTCTTACAGAGAAAAGAAAGCTGCGAAGATTTTTTCGCAATCGCGATTGGACTCGATCATAACAACTGCCACTGCCGCCGTACTATTTCTCGGAATTGTTTTCATAGCCGAGGGGGAGGATAACACGCGATGCGTAGTTCCGTTCGTGCGATGCGAACAATATCGGGGCAAGACGGTAGTACAACGCAGACGCGGCAGAAAAACTGGCGGATAAACATGGGGCTCCCGGGAAACAGAATCGCGTCGTCTCACCTGGCGTCGAGTCGCATCCGAGATACGCCTTTCTTAATGACAAAGTCTTATCTCTCTCTCTTTCTCTCAACACTCTCTTTCTCCTCTGGGACCGTCTCTCTCTCTCTCTCTCTCTCTCTCTCGGAATTGTAAAAAAGGGAAGAGAAGAAGAAACAGATTCCACCGACGCCGCCCGGCTCTCTCGGACCCGCGAGACGAGGAAGGCGCAGAAACAGAACGAAAAAGAAATGGAAATCGTGCAATTTGCATGGTCTCTCTCCTCTTCGGGACCAACACGGAGGCAGACAGCAATCAAGATAAGGTCTCTCTCTCTCTCTCTTTTTTTCTCTCTCTCGCCTCTCTTCTTGGGATCCATCAGAAGATACTATGGCATATCCACGGATACTCCGCCTTCCCGATTCTCCGGATCGCTTCGTGGAATCGGGGATTTGAATTTCGGAGTGGATTGCGCAATCCGCACCCACGCGTAGGCGCGCAAACGCAATCGTCTCCTCGACCAGACGGTCATTTTAAAACCAATACCCGCCTATCGCAAACACGCAAATCTCCGGAGAGGAGATCTCCCCTGTCTCTCCCCCTCTTTATCCCCTTTTCTTCCTCCCCTCCCCCCC